ATTTTTGATAGCAAAAGATCTACCTTGGCTTTCACACGTGGTGCGTAGACAGCCAGGGCTTTTTTGTAGTTAATAACATCGTGTTATACAGGGCACAGCTAGAAAGGAGAGGAACATCTCTCTTCATACCTCGAAAACCAAACCCTCTCTCCCAAGCCTTCTTGCGAAGCTTGTGCACCTTCAAAACTCGAGTCGAGTTTAGAGAAATCTTGGTTACATCATTCGAAACCTGTGCGTACCAAGGCGATCTTGTTGTTCGTGTGGGATGTTCATAGATGACCCTGATAGCAGACGGTCGATTGATAGATAGCTCACGAGGACCTACAATGAACATTAAAGAGGGTTCATAACACTTATATGATAGAATAGCCAATACGTATAAAGATGACGCACCAACTCGAACGATATCTCCATACTCTTTATGGAGATTTTGAATGTCTTCATAGGCTTTAACCCTCTTTGCTGCATTATTCATGGCGTAGAATCGAGACTGCTTAGCCAAAAATGGTCCAGGAAAGCGTTTTAGGGGATGAAAAAAGGCTCTATAAATGAGAATACTGGCTATAACCCCAGTGTTGTAGGCGGTTGTGACAAGCAAAGCGCGAACCAAAGCCAGAATAGCGCTATAACCAGCAGCGTATACATTGCCAACGATTAAGACGAAAAATGCGGTAAAGTATGTGAAAAAGAGCTGCCAAGCATAGCCATCAATCTCAAACGGCCGGAAAACTAGGTGATGGGAAACAATTCCAGCTAGTAGCGACACACTTGCTGTTGCCTGCAATGAAGATTGCAAAGCTACAACTAATGCATGGCTGAGGCCAGAAGCCATTCTGAACGAGAAAAGCAATATTTTTTGCAACTCTCAACATTAAGCGAAAGAACAAAAAACAAACGTCACAATAAAGGATAAAAAAGCGCAGATAAAGAATTCAAAAGGATGAGGTTGAAATGGACTGCCTCTAAATTGCCTAAAGAATATCCTATTCGCTGTCACTTTGCTTTGTGGAGAGGATCAACCCACCACGCACACTACTCGATATTCCGTAGAAATGCATACTACGAAGCGTATCTTCATCTAACTTAGGCAAATATTTACATCTTATCAAATATGAGAAAAGAGAGTAGTGCGGGGAACCCATCTTTGAACTCGTCTTTGTACCCATTTAATTCGGAGCCGCCCCCTCACCACTTTACGAACCAGTAGCGGTGACAAGAAAGAGTGTTTGTGATAACGCCACAAGCAAGAAGCGATCCAGCCAACCGCTGAGTAGGAAATACCGCCGCCTTTTCCTCATGTAGTTATGACAGGTCGAAAGCCAGGGGTGTAGATCCACAAAATATCGTGCCAACCAATGTCTATCTGACTACGAACGGGTGGTGGGATGCGTATGGTGGGTTTTCGGCATCATCTGCATATGGAAGGAATATAGCTGCTTCGTAAGCGATGGCCATTCTCACATGACTGTATTGCAGATCAACTCCAACGTTGAGGGTTTATTCGCGTAGTGTCGCAAATGAAGAGAAGGCTTGAAAATATGCATCATATATTCATCAGACAGCTAGAAATCTGCCGAGGGGTCAAGCCCATATATACCACATGCCTTTTGTAATGTTTAAATGTAATTCCCTTTTTCCATCAATCTTCGTCGTCGTCATACATTCTCATTTGCTCGCTAGTGTCTGTACAGTGACATCTCAGTCCCGCTCATTAATAGAGACTGCGCGACATCTGAGAAAATCCGTAAGAATAAAAGCCCCTTTCAGCCAGGGTTATAATATCTTCTCCAGTTAATCAGCGTGAATGGATTCCCTCTATTCACCCTTGAACCGTTAGCCGCCTACTTCGTCCTGGAACGGGTCTCAGGCCAATAACAGTAACAGCTTTGCCCGAGACGTTGGTGTCATGGAGAGACTGAATCTCAAATTGGGTGCCCGGAGAAGCGATATACTCTATCTTGCCCGGATCATCCGACAGGGGCGTGATGAACGCCATATCATCCCATAGCCACGCATCGGACAGAGGGTTCAACACAAGAACTATCCCGTTGGAATAGTGCATAGCGTCATCGATATTATCTGTAAAACTCCATGTCATCTTTGTAGTGATGGTCTTTCCCACAGACAAATAGCTAGCAAGGGCATCTGTCAGTGGATGCGCAAGCTGGTTGCCAACAGGACCCGAGTTTAGAGGGCATTCGTAAAACTCGATGCCGAAATGCTTCGTGCCCAGCTGTTGAATGTCAACCTGTCCGCTATACAGCTGCGACTTGAACGCGAGCGATGTCCGAGGCATGGATCGCGCGGCTGCAGCGAGGAGGCGGTTTTCAATCTCGCTAAAATTGTAAACTTCATCTGCGACTTCGTCAAATTGAGCTTTGAGATGGTCTAACGAGTGTGCTGGTTCCATCAAGAAGCTCCGCATGTAATCGGCGTCCTTGGGTGTGTATGCAGAGAAATTGCTCTGCCAAATCTTCATAGAAAGGCTCTCACGGTCCAAGGGGTGAGGGAGCGATGCGATTCCCGAATCTATATCTGTGTACTGAAAGATTTTAAACAAGGTCATGCGCGCAAAGGATGCAGTCGTCCAGTCGTAAATACACATGGCAAGCTCAAAACTATAAGGCGTAAAGGGAAAATATTGTCTCCCTAAAGCTCTGATCTCTTCGATAGTCTTTGGATAGCCATGCGGAATGTTCTGATATGGCACAAATTTATTGCTAATCATCTTGCTAATAAATGCGACATCTTCGTTGGAGATGTGAGGCAAAGGCTTCAAGAGGCCAGACACTTGCTGCGAAATACTATAACAAGCTGTTCACAAGAACTCGTAAGCATGCACGTATACAACCATATGGCTATGCTCGAATATGAAAAATTAACCAACCTGTAATTATATCTGGCACTTTGACAAGCCTGAGCGTGAAACTGCCACCATCGTCGTCAACCCGAAGAGATAGATTCAGTGGATATGAGCTATTCTGCAATGATGGACATGTAAAGCCGTCATCCACCTCACGCCTCTTTAGCCAGAGAGTTGCTCCATTTGCATCAAGAGCCATTGACTTTGATGAATGCACTTCGGTGATGTCAAGAAACCCATGGCGATCAACAATCAGGCGGGATGAAATCCCATGGCCACCTCGAGCGGTCTCGAGTGCATCACCATCGCTGAACCAAAGCCGCGATGCAGCCAATATCCGAACAAGGTGCCACATATCAAACAGTTACAGCAGTTAACGCAATGAGGACTGAGTCTTGGCTCTCCAAGAGCTGGAATGCAAGTGATGCTTCAGGCAGCCAGCCATGAGAGCCACAGGGGCAGCTCTTTTCTTATACGTCCACACAGACGACGATCAAGAGCCCACAGGTGTCGTCTTGGCTTCATTCACTTTACTCATCTTCTCTCGTCTGAGTTAGGATGTCTCAGTTGGCCCTGCATGGCTAAAATGATGCGCTTGCCATCACGCGCACACATTCTGGGGCAGAGATACAATATGCTATGGCACACTGACACCGCATGGGCGGGGAATGAGTGTTGATGTAGCACGACACGGTCTATCGAGTGCTCTTGAGAGAGCCTATTAAACTGCGATACAAAGCCTTTGTCGGCCAAGCAAACGTGACACTGCCCATGTACGCGGTATATGTACCTGCAGGGCTCCAAGGGGACGATCCGGTCGTGTAGATGAGCCAATGCCTCCGTTTGCGCCATGCCAGCGCATCTCGCTGGCGAGATGCATCTACGCAGCAACTTGGCTTGCTTGGCGATTCACGGACCGCCTTTTGCGTTGGGCTACACATGTAAAGGGATAGCTGAAGGAGAGCTACTCCAGCTGAGAAAGTCCCGGAACTTGGCAAATCTGCCCCAGAGCAGCGGTAGATGAGAAGATCTCGTCCCGTTTTAACGCGTTATTGCGGCACCCCCGTCTCCACGATGGCGTCAAAGCGAACAGGGGCTGTTCAGCTCTTGAGTCGCTTTGCCGCTTTCCCGTATGGAGAAGCCTCGGCATTTGCTCGCTCCAAGCCGGGCAATTAGGCTTTGGAATATCATTTTTCCAGCGTATAAGCCAATTACAGAGTAGAGAGATGAGGATACATCTGCCGACATACTAAAATTTATCCTACTTGTAGACTACAGTATCTGGATGAAACATATCAAATCAGATTCTAAACCAGGGAAAAAAAGTTACAGCCTCGTGTAAATGTTCCAGCTGCTTTAACACAAGAACATATAAATACAAAGTCACAACGAAATCATCTATATTACTAGAAATAACATGTTCAGCGTATTTACTTTATATTTCCATCTATTATAGGGTATGCGTGCGGAGCTACCGCATGCTAACTAAGACGCTTTAAGCTGACTGCCCATTTGGATACTGCAGATACTTGTAGGATAAGCGGATGGATCAAGCATTTTCCGACTGGCCAATCAAGTGCATCCCAACAAAGCCGATCGCTAGCCACGCGATGATTTTCCTCTTTTAAGTCCGCCGACTTCCGCGATGAACTCTGATCATTCGAGTCTGTCGAACCACTGGCTGAAATTGAAGATAGCTCGTTAGATGTTTACTGCAAAACCCAGTCTCCCTACCATAAAATATTTCCCCAGGTAGCTTAGACGCGTAGAAGATTACTATACCGATATTTACCTAGTAGCCATTAAATCCCAATAGAATTAATCCAATGACCTCGATATTCGCCGTCGGAGAACTGGGATGAGCCTAGTTGCTGTTGGTCCGGTCGCCGCTTGGAGTATTTAGCCTGGACAAGCGCCAGCTCTAGCACGGACTAAAAGCCTTAGTGGAATGAAGCCACGATGGCTAGTCGGCAGCTAAGGGGTGGGCCAAAATTAAAGCGTTGAGCTAGAGGTTCTATAAGAAGCGCTTGAAGCCTCCCAAGTCTCTACCAAGTTTTGCTGCGTATTTGATCGCACGAAAACACCATTCTTTCCCTTATAAGTCGATGCGATAAAATGTCTTACAACAAAAAGACAACTCCGGGTGGTCTAGTTGGTTATGACATTCGGCTGTAATGGGTAGCATCTCACCGGAAAGTCGGCGGTTCAAATCCTCCCCTGGAGATAATTTTTTTCTTTTGTAAAGCTCTTGATGGCGCTAGTATATAAATAGCTAGCGCTGCATCTAGCAAACTAATCCATATTAAAGTGGGACACAACAGCTTAGTAATATTTGCTTATGTACTCCTCCTGTTGTAAATTTACAAGTTGATTACTTATTTATAGGTAGTTGAAACGCCTATGACTAGATGCTATTGTTACTATATTTATTAATATTAAGAGGTTAGATACCTGTAGGACAAGAAAATATACTTGAAGCTTTTCGGTTAATGCATTCAAGCAATTATCTATAGATGCCAGAGCCTATAGTGTAGGATCCTTAAAGTATACTTGTAGTTTCAGGAAACTTATAGTCATTCGTCAACACCTCTAACAGTACCCGGGGACTTACAACGATTTAAAGCATAAGCCCGTCTTAGTCTTTTAAGTCTGCAATGACGCATTGTTATATCTTTCATGCCTGCGTAAAATTTCTCAAGTCGTAGTGCTACGCGCGTTCACGGATCATTTATCCGGTAAATCGTCCCGTAGTTCTCGCGTTTATGGATAGACCTATTACCTAGTTGACAACTCTACATCTTTTTAACACCACAATTGTCCAGTTCCTTGTCTCTCTATGCCACTTGCATTTACTTTCTGTGTCTATTTATAACAATAGCAAATTAATACCTGCATAATGGAACAAATCACCATCACCCGATTCTCCCCCTCTGAACATGGCAAATATGTCCCTGCCATTATCCAAATGCACATTGACTGCATCGAATCTGATGGCGCCCTGCTGCGATTCCACCCACCATTCACTCTTGAAAAGCGTCAGAAAATGGAATCCTTCTGGAAAGCTCGCCTTTCCCAAATTTCCACCGGCCATCGCATCATCTTGATCGCCTTGGCATCTTCGGATGGCAAGCAAGACGCTGATATTGCTGGCATTGTGGAGCTGGGCATGACGGAAGCAGATACGGGGCCATTCCGAGGCGATTTAGAGATGTTGATGGTGTCGCCAAAGTATCGCCGTAGGGGGATGGCAAGTAAACTGATTGATGCTCTGGAAGAGATTGCAATAGAAGAGAAAAGGACATTACTAGTAAGTTATGAAGCGCATCTTGATTATTGGCTAAGGAGTCTTACGTCTGCCTGAACAGCTACTGTCTACAGATATTGGCTCAACAGCCGAAAGATACTTGTACCCTCGCCGAGGCTACATTTTGGTAAGGCCCCTTAATGCCCTCAAATGTTTAGTCGTCTTTCTTACTAACAAGTCCTTTAAATCTTTCAGGTGGGAAAAGTTCCCAACTATGGCATCTCACCGACTGATGGTTCACTGAAAGATGGGGCATTCTTCTACAAGCAGCTTGTAGCTCCCTTGCCTGGAGCTTGATAAGCGTGTATTATTACCTAGCAGTGTTTTAAAATAAACAAAGGAAACTCTTAGGAACTACTGGGAAATATGAAAATAGAATTTAATGATTTAGTAGAAGAATCTCGTGCTTACAATGTATATGTCATCAGAAATGCTGCTTGCGTGCACAGCAAAAGGCAGCATTCGGCGTTATTTTCCAGTCGCCTTATTGACGCCCATTCCTCCCAAGACCATCGGAAATACGAATAATATCCCCTTTGAATTAGATAAGACTCATTTCATCAAATTTTTTCTTGCATGAATCCTTCGCCTCAGCCACTTCAACCTCACTGGTTTCCTCGGTTCGAGGCGGCCCAATTCGTCCCCGACTCACCCCACTCGGCCGAGTGGGCTTAATGTCCCGGCCGAGAGGGGTCAATGTCCCGGCCGAGACGGGTGTCAAGAGCGAGGTCTTCGGCTCCGGGTTCCAGTGAGGGATAGTCGGGAGAACCTCATGTGTGATGTACGGTTTAAACGCTAGATTAGACGTCGGACATACGGAGGATAGTATGACTTGGCGAAGCCGCGATCCTTTGAGAGATGACGTCGAGTGGGTACTGTGGCAGATGTGTATATATATCGTCGAGGTCTTCCAACAATGCATCAATTCACCATAAGCATTCAATCTCAATAACAACAACAACAACACTAGCAACAGCCATCAAGCTCTCAGCAAATTCTTCATCATATACCCAAAGTAACAAACACTCATACCAATCATACTTGCTCTATAGCCCCCACAATGCCCTCCCCAACAACTGGTGTCGCCATCATCGGCGCAGGCCTATCTGGTCTCACCCTCGCCCTCGCCCTCCACCAACAAAACATCCCCTGCACAATCTACGAATCCCGCGAAGCATCTCTCGATATCGGAGGCGCCATCATGCTTTCCCCCAACGCCCTCAAGATCCTCGATGCCCTAGGCGTATACAAGAACATCTCCCCCCTAGGCTACCACTTCGAGAAGCTCTACTTCCGTTCGGAAGATGACAAGCCAGTTGATGATTTTGACTTCGGTTCCCATGGAAAACACGGCTACAAGGCTCTCCGCGTCTACCGCTACGAGCTCATCAACGTCCTCGTGTCCATGGTCCGCGAGGCAGGCATCCCCATCGAGTACCAAAGAAAGTTCGACCACGTCGTCTCCGAGTCTTCCACTCGCGTCACTTGGGCCTTCACCGACGGATCCAAAGCCAGTGCAAAGCTCCTCGTCGGAGCTGATGGCATTCACTCCCTCGTCCGGAAGCATCTGTACCCAGATCTTACTCCCAAATTCACAAACATGGTTGGTGTTACCGCTGCTGTGCCCCGTGCGCAACTCCAAGAAGAACCCAACTACCCGCTTCCCGTGACCATCATGAACCCCAAGCACGGCGCCTTTGTCATCGCGCCGCAGCTTGCCGACGGCTCAGAAGTCTTGATTGGGAAGCAAAAGCGTCTCCAGAATGAGTACGACCGCGCTGGATGGGACGAGCTGATGAACAATAAAGCCTGGTGTGTCGACTTCCTGCGTGAGGGAAGCGCCGACTTCCCTCCCATCGTGGCCAATGCCGTGTCCAACATCCCGCTCAAGGGCATCAACCTGTGGCCCTTCTACCTTGTTCCCAAGCTGGATACCTGGGCCAAGGGCCGCGTCGTCATTCTCGGTGATGCAGCTCATGCGATCCCTCCAACCGCCGGCCAGGGCGTCAACCAGGCATTCGAAGACGTGTATACGTTTGCCGGCATAGTCGCCAAGGTACAGCAGAAGAAGCAGTCAGAGGACGACATGGAAGATGCCGCGCGGATCACCAAAGCATTGAAGAACTGGCAATTGGGCAGACAGGCGCGAGTGGACAAGGTATTGGAACTCAACGACAAGTTGAACAAGAGGCGACTGCCAGATGCAGCCCAGGCCGGAGACCTTGAACCGTTCGATTTGGATTGGTTATATGGTGTTGATTTCGACCAGATGATTGCTGAGTGGGCAGCTTAATTGCTTCTGTGCTTATTCCAAGCGAGAGAGATATGTCTTTTAGTCCGTCTTTAGCTATATTAATTCCCCCTTAATGTTTAAGTTCCAAGTCTTGTTCCGTGAAGTGCTTCAACCTAGCCTATTTTCGATGGATGTTGTGATCTCACCTATCATCTCCGGTATCAATATCATACCGTTGGTAAATGAATATATACTAGGATTTCTTAAAACAAGCAAGACCCTTTGCATGGTCGCTTTCGGCGTAGCCAAGAGACTCTATTGCAGTTTCACCTCGGTAAACGGAGTGGCTTTTGCCTTCAATGGCACATAGACTCCTTGGCATAGACTTTTTTTTTTTTTCCGCATCACATCATCATTTGAAGCATTATCTCTCCTACACAATCCCGGAGCAGAGCCACCAGGCGCCAAGGCCTCCCATTTTATAAATCCCCACAAATAATTGAAAAAGAAAAAGCAATCCACGCTTCTAGTATTATGTCTCTCTAGTCATCTACTCAATCAAATAGTTGTCTGCCGCAGACCTGATATCTTTGGAGAATGTTACCTCCTCGTTTTCGTCAAGCAAAGAAACGGATGTGACCTGAGGCAGTTGTTAGCGACAAAAGATTTGTTTGCCATAGCATGGTGCTGGGTATGATATGAAACTTACGTCGACGTCCACAAACGGTGTGGTCTTGTTGAAGCGAACAGTCATGGGGAAGAAGTCGTTTTCATCATTGCTTTCGGCTTCAAACTCAAATGATCCATTAGGGTTTTCGTCATCGACCGAGCCAATGTTCCACTCCAGAGTGTCTCCAGATACTTCGTAGGCAGCATCGAAGCTGGAGACGATAGGTTCGCTTCCCTGGTAAGGAATGATTACGCTGACGTCACGTAGGGCATCGCCGCCGGTGAGCTCGTACTCGACTGTGATGTTGTACTTGTCGGAATCCTTGTTGATCCAGACGGTGAATGTAATAGGGCATGCACTTGCGTCGTCCGCCTTTGGCGAAGCTCTCCATCGCAAAAGTCCAACTCCTTGGTTGATTGGGAATCCTCGAGCGGTGTTGCTCATTTGCAGAACCTTGGAGCTGTTGAAGAGGTTGCGGTCCACGTTCGGATGAGGACGGAACTGGGCACCGTGCGATGGGACGGCATGTAGGCCGAGCTTGAGTTTAGCCAGGCTTGGGTCCGAAACTCGCAGCGTAAGGTCGCCGTTGACTGAAATCGAGTTGACTGCGCCCTCTCTTGAGAGCTTGGCACTTATCGTCTCGGCAATTGTGACGTGGATAGCATCTCGGTCCAGGGTGGATGACATCCGTGGCTCTGGCTCGGCAGCCGCTGCAGGTGTAGGTGTTATTAGAGGAGCATCATCGGCTCCGGCGCCAAGATCTCCTCGGACCTTTTCGAAAATGTCGGTATTCTTTGACTTCTTGCCGAGCTGCATACCCTTCGCCTTGAGCGTGGAAGGCCTATCAAAGCAATTAGCATTCTCTCAGAGCAAACGGAGCGCGGAGGTCAACAGTGCGTACTTGTTGAATGTCTTGTTCTTCTCGGCTTCGTATGAGTCAAAGGCGCTGGCACTTGGCTGAGAGGGAGGAGTATATGTGGGATAAACGGGTGTTCGTGGCGCGGCGGGGCGACCGCTTCTCGCCGACTCCTTGCGCTGCATCTCCAATTGCTTCGCCTTGCGTTTCCGCTCTTCCGTAGCCTCGAGCTCTTTATTCTATATCGATTCATGTAAGTATTTTGGCCCGCTATGACGGCAAAAGAGTAGGGCAGGGTCCGTACCCGTGCAATAATCTCTTGGATACGCTCTTCATGACTCTCCATCTCCAGGAAGGTCCTGATCTGGCTGATGGTCAAGTTTTCTCGGTAGCCAAGAGTGACCAGCTCATCGAATGCGCTGAGAAGCTCGTAGGCATTTCGGAGAATTTCTCTCTCGTCCAAAGTCCGGCAGGTGCTCGTCACCACCTGAGCGAACAGGTGTAGCGAATCGATGTCTTGGAGGATGTTGGACTGGCGGTTGGTGATGAGCACCATGTAGAGCTCGTCGAGAGGCTGGTAAACGAATCGCACATTGTCCTGCTCGACGATGGTGTGCTGAGTGCCGCTGTCTGCGAGCTTGGGGAACGATGCAAGGAGAGCCTCGATGCGGGATCTGGGCATCTCGCGAAACTGTCTGGAGAGGACAGCTTTCCCGCCCCGGGTGCACACTGAGGCCGCAAGGACAACCTAGTTCGCAGTTAGCGGTCAATGAAACTGCACGCATCATTCTGGAGCCGGGTGCGCACCATTTTGGCAGTAGAAAGCGCTGAAAATGCCGTGGAAAGGAGGCTTTGGTGGGATGGGCAGCGTCAGCCAGATGGTTCAATTGAGCCACGTCTAACTCAGGAGCTGGCGGTTCAGTGACAAGGCTACCGCTCTGGTCCAGAACAGCGGCGTCACGTGTTCTAGCACTTCCAGTGGAGGAGGGGCTCTGCTGCTGAAAGCTGGCCGAGGGGTTCAAGTATGCAGTACATGGGCACCACATGTATTTCCCTTATAATAACCATAGAAAGCGATTGGAGCGAAGAGTACTCACTACCTAGCAGCTGCCTTGTCAAGTACCCAGCACCCACTCTCGCAGCGTAGATACCAGCAAAAAGCATGTACCCTGTACTAGGCGCTCCCATGCCCCGTTTCTGCTCTTTGGACTAATCACATCGCGCTAACCTATTTTAGTCAGCTCTTTCTCACGTGTGGGCCAGCTGGTCTAAAGCTCTGTTCTCTGAAAGAATGTCGTCGCATTCATTTAGCCTCAGCCGTGAAGCTTCGCCAATTCCATCTCTCCACGCCACCGCGAATACGGGCCAACCTCTGCTATTCTGGTTCCGTACGACGCGTTTCTCGTGTCGCCTGTTTCTATTCTTTATATACCATTCCCCTGACTATCAATGTGTTGCTCTCCCGCTCGCAATCAACAGCCTGCAAACACTATATCGCGAGTGGCGTAACATTGCCCATCCACTTCTCGGCCCTGCGCAACACCTTTTGTTGCTATTCCAAAGCTACTGCGATCCCTATTTCGTATTATTGCGCCACAAAGAAGCATATATCGGCTTGCAGACCAACCATCTACAGAAGCACTTTTGGCGGAGTCTTGACACTATCTAACCGAACGTTTGATATACTTTCGAGGCCGTGGCAAACCATGGCAGAACTCGATATGGATGTCGACTTGGCAGCGCCAATGAAATTTGACGAGCATGTTGATGAAGATCTTATTGACTACGATATCGACACGACGGAAAACCATAGCCACGAGCAATGGTCATCTCACCAAGATGAGCACGCCTCAGGTGCGCTAGAACAGGTGCATCCAGTCGAAGGCATAGAAGGCCCCGATTCGAGATACACTGAAGCTGGACAGGGTCCGGAAGCGAGCCACCCGCAGGGTGGCATGGACTATGAACACACTGATGATGCTGTTGAAGAATCTCACCAACAATCAGAAATGTACGTTGCGACGCATCAAGACAAAGATACTGGTTTGGAAGCGGAGCAATCAAAGGACTTCAATGAGGCTGGTGGAAACAAAAATATTGGTGATATTCCTGTTAGCGAAGCAGAGCACGCCGTGGATGAGATTGATTATGAGGACGAAGATGCTACAGTTACACAAGTCTCTCCGAAGAAGCCGGACGATACAGACGGTGGTGTGCATGAGAGTAACTCAAATGACGACATGGCTGCTGCGGCAAATGTCGCCAGTACCACCACAGCAGAGCTTGCTAGCCTACCCTTAGCAGATGCACCCGTTGGTAGCTCCGAGGTGCCAGAGCTAGCGACCAAAGAAGACGAAGATGAGATAACCTGGGAGCATGACGATGAAGGCGACGCAGAAAAGCATGACGAGCAGGAATCTGCAGCCGACGCTGGAGAGACTGTCGCTAAATTCGACCACACCGAGACTGAGCCAACCCATAATAGTGACTTGCACGATCAAGTGTACGAGCAGCATGCTCACACCACAGACTCCGATTATGATGCAGACGCTGCCGTAGAAGTCTCGGAAGAAAAAACGTCTCCGGCATATCATCAAGATCATTCATTGTCGCAAGTAGAAGAACAGGATTCAGAGGCGCCCGATTTCCCAGCAATCACTGTGCAATATAAAGGAGACGAATTTCCATTCTTTTCGCAAGATAAAACCGAGGGCTTCTTTTCTGATCCATCAGTCTTGGATCACTCGATGGAATCAGTGCTTATTGGATTACGCTCAGAGCTGGAGAATGAGATTGCTGCACAAGATGAACTTGTTTTCCAAGTCGACGAACTCGGGCTTGAATTTGCAGAGGTGTGTAGAGTATCCGGCCCCGTAGATGAAGGACCAGTTGAACTAACTGCTCCACAGGCCACAGCGCACAACACACTCACCACTATTACGCTACGACAAGTGTTAGAAGTCTTTGACTTGCTGGTGAAGAATCAAGATCCTGATAGCTCGCGAACTCTGTACACGTATCTCTTCACGAGATCGAGCGCTAGTAAACGATTTGAGTTTCTGGCAGAAAGTGCAGCTGCTGGCAGAGGGCTTGATGAAGTGATTCATCTTTTTGAGAATCCTGTTGGGCATCACCATGTCCTTGCTGAAGCTGAGAATGAACATGGTCACTATCATGGCGAGGACAGCGACGCCAACGAGGCTGCGGAAACCCATGAGAGCGCTGAAGACGACGACGACGAAAATGAAGAAAATGAAGATGCGGATGCTGACACCGAAGAGTCTGAAGGTTCAGAAGAAGACGAGGAAGAAGAAGAAGAGGATGAAGAGGAGACTTCAGCCGCTGAAGAGCAACCAATCGAATCTGCAGATCAATATGAAGATGAAGAAGAAGAAGCAGAAGAAGAAGAGGATGAAGAAGATGAAGATGACGGCGAAGACTTCATGGCAGAGGCTGAAGACTTCATTAGAGATGCTGAAGAGAACGCGAACCAAGAAGGAGAGTATAGCGATGACGTAGAGGAAAGCTACGAGCAGCTTCAAGCTGTGGTTGTAGAACCCGTAAATCATTCCGGCCATGCGGATGCAACTGCAGAGGCAGATAACGCGCCAGATGCAACATATTCATACGGTATAGTCACCAGTACCTCCACAGCCTTTGTCTTGCTACATACTAACCAACGATACTTAGACGACGAAGATGAAGACGCTGATGCCAATCCGTTTATCCACCTTGAGATGCAGGAGACTATGGTAGATGATGGAGCTGAAATTGAATATGAATCCATGGCACATGCGGAGGTGGGCAACGAAGGCCCACAGCAGCTTGCTATGCATCCTATAGACGAATATATAGACACCAATGAGGCGGACACCGGCACGACCAACACACTAGCCGACAACGGTGAAGGCATCTCTACCCTATTGGACATGGGCGCTGACCAAGGGCTAGAAGAGATTACCAATGAAGATCTAGCCTTTGAGGATGAGATGCCTGAAATCGACTGGAGAGATGACCTAGACGCCCCCGACGATGCCAAAAACGAAATGCCCGGAACACCTTCTGGCCTACCAAAACGGCGTCGTACCGAGGACGAGCAAGGCGTGGAAGATGAACAAGGTAAGCCAAAGCGAAGCTTGTTATGCGGTAAACAAAAGCTGATTACTCTACAGATGCCAAGCGCCGTCGACCATGATTCTAATCCTTGCCCTGCCAAGACTAACAACGAGGACGAAGCCAAATTTCCCCCAACTGCATATGGTTGCAGCCACATCTGGATCAACCTGATAGGGCGAGATGGCCCATTCCCTATAACGGAGTACTAACCACAGTCAGTAGCGTGATTTTCTTACGAATTTCGAAATCTCTGATGACTATCTATACGCACCATAGGACACGCCACTACACATTTCACGCTTCTGACTGAAAACAAGATACGATTCCAGGTAGGGGCCTAAATGGCTATACTAACAGTACGAAGCTGTACGACCATGTAGCCGCAGGCGACTTTGCTTTTGGGTTGGTGCTGAGCGATCAGCCTGTTTACCAGCTTCCTTTCCCTTTTGCAGCTTTTCATTATTTATTTATCCCTTTCCCCTTTCCCCCTTCCCTTTAATTATCTTACTTTGCCCCTCTCTTTCATATGAAGGTTGAGGGCTTTGATACCGCATTCTCTCGATTTAAGAGCCAGATTCGTATTTGGCATAGGCTGTATGCTTTCCACTTGAATCACTGGAGAAAGGATAGACATTTGGAGGGATATTACGGCGTGACATTGGAGAAAAAAAGGTATGCCACGCGAGGGATATTTTGGCGTTTTGGAATTACGGCTCCGGTAATAGTAGAAGGTCAAGTATGTCTGCATATAGATTATTACTTAGCTCTACGGACGGAGAGGGCTGTTGCACACGTCTTTAATGCACAATTTGAATTTAAATAGTGCCAGTATCGTATCCCATGGGCCAGCTGGGGTTTGATGAATATGATATGATCTGTGGTTGGTAAGCACCTCTTCTTGCTGAACGTTGAAGTCACCGATGATTTGTTGTTGTTGGTTCCCGCTCAAAATGCATAGGTTTATCAATACCAATTATGTCGCCTGCTTCCAACTCAGTTGGTCACGGGATTCCGAGTCCAACACAACATCCGACGTGGTGTAGTGGCTAGCATACCGCGCTTTCAATAGAAAGGACCGCGGCGATCCGGGTTCGACTCCCGGCGCCGGAAGATTTACTTTTTGACTTTTTGACCTTTTTTTTTTCTCTCTCTCGTTGAGAAAATTTCTTGTAGTATTAGTTCCCTCTCCCCGTTTAAAGCCATACGAAATACTCTCTATGAAAGCTACGTGTTTCCTTGCTCCTTGCATTTTTCTCTTTTAGGTCGGGAGCATGCCCCCTTGAGAATAGGTACTAAGGTACATCGATATCTTTGTCTAATTATACATACTACTGGGCTATTTTGAGAGGAGATCGGGGCTTGCTTCGGAATACGGTATCAGCAACAACGTAATGCATACTTGGGTCCGCGTCACGTGTCTGCCAATGACTGACGCACATATTGCTGGTGCCCGCGGCCTTGACGGCTTACATGTGACTGTCGGTATCCTGCTGTCTTGAGAGCGCTGCGAATTACAAGCAGATACAGCGCAGATAATACATACAAGGGGTGTTTGCGCGTCCTCTACTCCACTTATCCAGGGGCTGGATATTTTTCTGGCTTTTCTCGCTGCACATCTTATCCCCAATCGATCAGGAGGAAGGGCCCCTAGTTACGAAGCAGTGCGCGGGTCGATCACTTTCTTGGCACTGTGTGAAACCTTGGAAGTGGCTGCCAGAGAGGCTCCACAGCGAGCGATTCAGCGCAAAGGACACCACTAGAGGGCACTATTGCTGTCACTAGCTGCGAGTAATGAATGGGTAGATGAGAAAATATACGGAGTAGACAAGTGAGAAATGCGAGCTGATGGATGACCTGCCAACTGCCTTGGAGGCTGACTACATATATACTGGTAGTACTAGGTACACACATTCATAGTAGATAATATACTGTACATACACAAGTACCTAGTTAGGCTGATGGGGACAATGCTCCGTGTCTGCATGACCTGCGTATAATTTAGCGGGCGTGAGAAGTTGTTGGGGGGGCAATGAGGCGCAGCATGTTTTCAGTGTCTAAGACGATGCATCTGTCCGAGTCTCGTGATGCTGGAGTATTTGACTAGCTCTGTGACAGGAAATCGAAGATGACTACAGAGTTGTTAGTGCTGCCAATACTAATACTACCTGCTAATATAGGAGTCGTTGGTAAGTAGTAGTACCTTGTAAGATAAACAGGCAGCTCTATATTGGCTTGTGGTTCGTTTAGAGGTTGATGCTCTGCAGCTGCCCTGCGAACCAGAGGTGGCCAATGACGTCGGCGGGTTTTGGATAAAAAACGTCTTCCCATGCGTTCCGGTTGATAAGCAGCATCGGAATTTACGAGATTTGACAACCGTGTTTTTTCGTGTCTTTTTGCCGCGTTTGATAGGATACACACCTCCTGTACGACTCCATCTATACCCGAAGTTGGCGACGTTGCCTTTCCGCCTCGAGCTCTAATTAATATAGGTACTAATAGAGAAACCATGTGGTGTTTGTTATTGAAGGTAGGTAGCAGTAATTCTATCATAAAATGAACCCAGTATCTACCAAAGTTCGTATCCCCATATTTCGGAACCAAAAAAAGGTGCTGTTGCAAGGCTGCCGAATACGAAGCGCCATTCTTTGATTGAGGCAGCCAACCAGGCCAAGCCAAGAGGAATCCAGCATCGCCAGCCTTGCCGCAATGAATCAACAGCAGCCCATGTCGTGGCCGTAGTGGGCAGATCGCCGTCCATCTAATGGGAAATCTCATGGGAATGGGGACCGCAGCAGATTGCCTGATGATGTGAAACAAGCCAGACACGACAGGGGCTCGTTTGTTTTAGGACGCCTCGATCCACCAGCAGCGCATCTACCGGCGATGAAATTGCTTGGCTCGAAAAGGCGCCCCTCCACGGCATGCCTCCAATGGATGAACGAGATTATACTCCATGCTACAGTGCTATAGTGCTGCTGTAAAGCACGCTGAGGCGCTTGCCTTGCACTTGGATTACAGTAGTACAAGTAGTCAATGCCTTCCAAGGTTAGGTACTTTGGCGGCAATGAAGCGATGGGCGCGAGACCTTGCTGCATGTACCCTCGCCATCCATGCACGTAAACTCTACTTGCCGAAGCTCGCAGCGCGACATGCTTCACCCATGTATCCTCGACCTCAGTCCCTCCGTCTTTTTTTAGGTCTCTACCCCCCCGCCCTGTACTGCACTGCGCAGTAAGAAAGCAGCAATTGGCCCGCCAGCCCCTCAGGTACCCGTCCAGACCCCCCAGCTTACTGCAGTTAGCGCTCCAGGCATTGCGCCTCTGTCCAGGCCCGCTGATACCGATGCCGTGCCCTGTAGCCACGCAGCAGCAACCGCTAACAGCCCAGAAAGACGCTGGTGAGACACGCATCCCATTCCCCAAAGCTCGCCCACACCCCCAATAAAGCGCCACACGCGGCCCAAGACCAGAGTCCAATCAACCAGTCGATGCCAGAACTCCAATAAACCCACAAGCCACCAGAAAATACATCCGCGATCGTTCCTTTTTCTCCTTCCCTTGCCTTCTTTTTCTCGCTCTCCTTTGTGCGCCAATCATCGCCCTGCTTTTTCCTTCTCCCCCTCCCTCTCCTTTGGCACCACGTCGGCGTTGCGTCTGCGGTGCATTTGCATCTTGATTTTTCCTTCGAGTTCGAAGCTACCTTCCAGAGACGGAATTGGACGGCGGATTACGACACAATAACAGGCATTCTGGTACGACATCAAGAGGCCAGACAGCAGACACGAACCACGATCCGGCGCTGCTCCTTTGCCCTCCCTTGCAACGAAGAAGAGAAAAAAAAGAAAAAAGGGAACAGAAAACCAGCGACGACAGCCTCGAAGACGAGCCTCGCGCTTTTGATAGGCCTGATCTGATCTAACGAAGCTACTCGCAAGCCTTCCCCCGCCTTGGAGTCGCCACAAAGCCTAGCCGGCCGACCACAGACTCTCTCTGTTACGCTCCTTCTTGCTTCCTCGACAACGTCCATTCGCTACCTTTTGGTCCTTGCGCACGCTCATTTTGTCTCGTTCGCGACTCTTCCCTTGTCCAGGGAGCCGCTGAAGAAGTACTCCGTCGATACGACACACTCCGTGGCCCTCTCGCGCGCTTCATCGTCCCAGAGACCGCTCGCTCAGCATGATTGAGGACAAGTACGTTTCTGCTTGGAAGAGGCCTCGTTGGGGACAAGAGAGGTGCCCCTCGTGGAACGCCATTCGCTGACTCCATCGCGTCTAGATATATCGGCCTGGCGCTGGCCATGTCATCGGCGCTGGCCATTGGTATGTCCTCATCCTCTCTGTGATTGATTCCTGCAGCGTGTTCTTGCTTACGCTTCCATTTCTTCAGGCACCAGTTTCGTCATCACCAAAAAGGTCAGATTCTTCTGCGGCGACCCGTCACGGCTCTCGGCGGCACACAACCTTCCGCCGGCCCAACCGAAGATGAGAACATCTCGACTGACAGTGTGCACAGGGATTGTTACAAGCCGAAGAGCGACACGGCTTCGAAGGCGATGGATTTGTATATATGAAGAGCCCCATGTGGTGGGCGGGAATTGCAACTCGTGAGCAACTGGCGCCGATATCAAATTCAATAGTCACCTTCTAACCCTTCCTTTCCCCCGCTACAGTTGGCATCGGAGAAATATGCAACTTCGCCGCCTATGCTTTTGCCCCGGCTATCCTGGTTACTCCTCTGGGAGCTCTCAGTGTCCTGATCGGCGCCGTGCTGGGATCATATTTCCTAGATGAAGAGCTTGGTACGCTGGGGAAGCTGGGCAGTGCCATTTGCCTCATCGGTGCCGTCATCATCGTTTTGCACGCCCCTCCCGACGAGGAAATCGAGACGGTCGATGAGATTCTTCACTACGCCATCCAACCAGGTACGAATGACGACGAGCCATGATCCGAAACTCGGCTTCCTTCTTGTCTTTTGATATTGCCGCCCCCCCCCCCCCCCCCCCCCCGCGTCTTCGGTTGTTTGATTTTGAGTGTGGTTTGGAGGACTAATGACGATCATGACCAGGTTTTCTTTTGTATGCCTTTGCTGTGGTGGCTTTTGCCGTCTTCATGATATACCGAATTGCCCCCGTCTACGGCAAGCGAAACGCCCTGATCTACCTCTCCATCTGCTCTACTGTCGGCTCCATCTCTGTCATGTCCGTCAAGGCCTTTGGCATTGCTCTGAAGCTCACATTTGCTGGCCACAACCAATTCTCGCACCCTTCGACTTACGTCTTTATGATTCTTACGACAGTCTGCATTCTGACGCAGATGAACTACTTTAACAAGGCCCTCGCCTCGTTCCCGACCAACATGTAAGTTGAAACTTACTGGCTGTTTCTGTGCCTGTGTGATCGCGACCTAAACGCAAATCATTCATACTAACCACGGTATTCTCCAGTGTCAACCCGCTCTACTACGTCACCTTCACCACCGCGACGCTCTGCGCCTCCTTCATCCTCTTCAGCGGCTTCAACACGACCGACCCTGTCAATACGCTCTCATTGCTCTGCGGTTTCCTCGTTACATTCACCGGAGTCTACTTGCTCAATCTGTCTCGAGGAGATCCTCACGGACAGAGACTGGTTGCCGGACGAGGCGACTTTGATGCTGCCGGCACAGATATGATCTCTGGCTTTCAAACTCGCCGCAGCATGCAATCCCGCAGAAGCGAAAATACCTCGAGGCACAGCCTGAGCAGCTTCCACGGCGATAGACAGGGTCTGATCCGGGCCTATGATGAGGAGGAGGCCGCGGGTTTCGGCCTCACCGACCTCGCCGACAGCGAAGACGAGGACCGCCATCTCAACGGTGCGAATGGCTCCAATGGCAGGGCAAACGGGTCAGCAAACGGCAAGAAGCAGTACACTAGCAGTGACATTGAGCTCGAGTCACGAAAGGATGCCGACAGGTAGTAGGGAACTCTGCCACTCAACATTTCTTTTCTATTCTTCTTTTTCTTTCTATCACAACTATGGAAGACATGAGAGAGGTCAAAGTATGATGGATATACCCGAAACCATTGTCATGCATCTCTTGTGAGATAAATCAAAATAGTCAGCCCAGAGTG